CCCCCCCCCCATTAGTATCAATGATGTGTGCAGCGGAGGCGCTTGCTAACTGTCAGAGGCTCTCCGCTTGGCTTCACTTGGAGAGGCGAAGGGATGCTGAGGGATTTGACGGAGAGACAGAGCTCAGACTAATGGTAGGCTGGTGGGACTCTGGGAGCCACAACACACAGCCTACTGTAGAGGAACATACCATCACTGATGTACTATACATGTCAGCAGGCTGTTCTATTTACAGAGCTGCTGTCTTAACAGTGTTTACCCATGAGGCTTTGCTACAGCTTGACTAAAACCCCCATGGGTGTTTTTCATTGCAATATGACTTCTGGTAAGATCATAGTTTGTCTGACAGGACTGGAATTGCTCATTAGGCTGTGTCCTAGGGATGTAAAAATGTTCCCCAATTGGGTTTCCTTTACAGCTGCGTTGGGCAGGGATTTTAAAAATACACCCGTTTGAGCTGAAATCATGTGGGGCTGTAACACGGAACGGTATCTCAGCTCACAGGAGGTGAGAATTAAAAATGTAGAGAAAATGTCTTTAATAGCAACGAACAGAAAGCTTAGTTTGCTAATGTTGATTCTCTTGACCCTTTGGCAGAAAGCATCACAGGTCAGGTTGATAAATGTGAGCGTGCTGACATGTGTCATGCATGATTTACGTAAACTCTAAAAAGGTTTGGCCAAGACCTTTGGTATTATTATTGTCTTAATGTCTGTTGGCTGTGACGTTGCATACAAATAGTGAGCCAGGATAGCTTCTGTTTGTAGCTTAACAAATAACATAATTAAACATCAACAAGTCTTATAGAGTGAAAGCAGAAAAACTGCTGAGTCAAATTATGCCTGCGATGGAGTTAACCATAAAAATACAGGTTTTTAAATGAAGGGGGTTAGTTAACGCATCAGATTCTTTTTTCATTAAAAACCTGCATTCGCTCTGTGGGCGGGAGGATGGGATAATTGCTGGCTTTAGCTCTCCTCACCTGGAACGTGACAGGATAACTTTCCCACGGTGCTTAATATTCAGTGAACCTGCGAACCCTAAGCGGGGGATATCGATCAGCAGATGTGATGTATTCCCTGCCTTCCTAACAGGCATCTGCAGAGTCATCTGTGTGGGAGTTGTGATGCTCCCTCTGCACCTCAGGCCGCCAGAGGAAAGATAAAAGGTACATGAACAAAACTGAGAAGAGCAAAGTTCTCAAACGGTTGACGCCCTTTCAGGATTTTCCTCTCAAGCAGTAAAAAGAATAATTTTGTTATTGATCACCATTTGAGCTGGTATTCAACAGTGATCTGATGGGCTTTATAACTACAGGGAGAACCGTATTGGCTTTCCTCTGAAACACGCCTCTCAGACTAATATTTATACCTCAAAGAAACTTTTTGCTGACTTTCATGTTTATCAACGGCTAATTATCCTCACATGGGAAAGCGAAAGTGATGCATCTTCTCGGGGCTAGTTCAACTAGCTAGCTTAGCAAAATGAAATGTAACCCCACACAGCATGCAATGTTTTATGAGATGTCCACACGCTATTAGACACCCCGAGATGCTGGACAGGAGCCAGTTTGTTACAAGAACACACAAATGCAATTGCGTGTCAGTGCTCGAGCACA